TCGTCCATAAGGTCATGTCCACTGCTCTGCTCTGGGAGATTCCATACTTGCTCGGGTGTAATTTGCCATTATCCGATTTCCTAGTTCAAATATGCTATCGCTGAATAAATCGATTATGGTCTCCATTACGAAAATGTAAATTGATAAACAAATACTTCCATTGTATATCGATTATCGGGAAAGTAGTTATCCAGTCACCAGATGTATGCCAAACAATTACCACTTGCGGCAGTTAACGCCCAATTATCTAGCGTTCCTCCGTCTTCCTGAATGTTGTTGTTAGAAACAAGGGCACTTTTTCGGTACATGTGGTGCCGCGTTGCCTTAACTTTCTTCCAGGCAAAATTGCTTCGATTACTCACGACGTAAATCGACGCATCACTTGAAAGCTGTCTATTTCTGTTCCTGCAGTAACCACCACCACCTATTTCTGCTCTCGTTTTAATTATTTCAACTTTCTTTTGGGGTTAAAATATGCGAAATCGCTGGCTTACCATGCCCCAACCAAATAGCGTTTACCTCCAGCTATTCTACTTAGTTCTTTGTCCGTGTGTGGTGAATGTTTTAATTTACTAAAACTACTCATCGTTTGTTAAGTTTACAGTTCACGTATCTTTCTCATTTCCATTTCTGCAAAGCACACCGTTTTTTTCATTATCAAATTGACCGACAACTCATCCCATTGGTCTATCTTCTAGGTCAGGGAGTTTGTTTTAGTCCACTGAGTCGGATGGGTTTACCCTTCTCATGTTAAATTTTTCTGCCAAAAGTAACAAGTAGCGTGATGCTCCGCGAAATTTTGGAACCCAGATTCTCATAGTTTCAGAGATGGCACCATTAGCCGTAAAGTTTGCCGTATCATCCGGCAAAAATGACATACATTGCGATATTCGTTGGTCGTTTTCTAAGCACCGTGAGATTGGGTGCAGGGATAGAGAGGAATCACTACCTGCAATATTTATTCCTTATTTGGGTTACTACTTCTAATACTGTCACTGGCATGGACGGAATGTGTCGGTATGGATGTGGAGTCAGCAAGAAAATGGAACGAATCCGTCTGAGCGAACAACTCAACCATATTTTGAATCTGTGTTAAATGTTGGTAACACAAATCTGCAAGAGGAAACGCAAGATCTCTACCAGGAAAGCTTAATGGAACACCGGTTAATCAACTGAAAGTCGACAAGCCCGGAGTTGCCGGAAGCTGATGGGCCAATCGGTATCGAATTTAATGGGGAAAAGCAGCTGCAGAAGAACATGATGTCAATGCATCTACTAATTATCGATTTTTTCGTGGTAATGGCGCTAGAAACGTCTGCATACATAGGCGATATAGAGTGACGTTGATCCCGATCATTAAACGTGAAGTTAAAGCAGATTCATGCGTGGATTCTGATGACAGCCAGCCACCTCACCGACCAATTGATCACAACGCCGTCACTGGGTTACATTGCAGGCTTCCTCAAGGAGAATACCTGATTGGATACTTCTGAAGGGTTCCGAAGCGACCAAAGCCACTTTCTAATACTTCGACCCGGTTTTAATGCCGCATTTGTCTATTACTTGTCATCCGATGTATTCTCGCTGCAGCAAACATTTGGTTACTACCCGCTGCGTGCCTCTTATCTGCCTCCCTGCACAGCAGAGGTAGTCTAGCAACGAGCGCGTTGGTGTGACCTTGAATCAACCTCTGTGGAATCTCCAAGACCAAACCGGTGTGTTTGCTAGTGGGCGTAAATTTTGCGACCACCGGTTTAAGCCACCTCGCGGCCTAGCTATCGCACCCGTCGATGACTCATCCGGCCAGATTGCTCCTCCACTGCCGCCGACATGATGAGTAATCGGCCAACAGCAACGCACGTGCCCTGAAGTCCGCCTGCGCGCGTACTCCAATCCGCGCCCGCGGCAGTTCAAAGGTGCCGCCAACGCCACAGCGGCAGCAATTGGTTAGCCTGCGATTGTCACAACTCAAGGCCAAAAATGCACCAGTAACAATCCAAAATGTGTACTGTGATAATTATTCCATGATTGACATGTCGCGTGCCCTCCGAAACTGCGTGTTCTCCACCAGTAGTTGAGTTTTAACCACGGCCTTCACCTCACGTGGCTTATTCAATCCCTGCTAGAGAATTAGGACGGTTGCACTACAAGCAATGTGTTGAGATTGTGCCAGCGAATAGACAGTAATTGACAAAATAGCACAGCAACCATAACAAAAAAAATCGGTTATTTGGTACAAAAAAGGATTGTCGCAGTAACAACTGCACCCTGCCGTGTTTGGGGCTTAGATAAAGCGCTTCTTCAGCGAAGTCTCGTCTTCCATTTTCTCCGGATCGATGGATGAGTTGGCACTCGGTACCACGACCGTGCCACCAGTCTTGACAGCACAAGTGCCCTCCAGCTTCTCGTGACGTATGAACCGATCAACAAGGGCCTGCAGAATCTCATTGGTGATTATCTCTCCGGCGTTGAGTCGCAGCATGTGGAGTATGAAGGAACCATCAGGTCGAAGGCACGCGGATTCGAAACGCTTCAAGGTCTGCTTCATGCCTTCGTCGTAGACGTCGGCAACCTTCATGTAGCGTACCAGCGACCGCACCCTCCGTTGCCTTATCGACAAGCGTAGGATCCAGATGGAGATGCTGATTACTTGAAGAGTCGCCACACCGACGAACCAGAACCACAGGAAGACGTAGATCTTCTCATTCAGCATGTTGACAGGCATCGAACACTGAGCAATCAGCGTGGGGACAGATCGGCCAACTAGCTTGATCGGCACTCTGCAGAAGCCGACACGTGGAAAAACGAGCGTCTCCTGCCAGTAGTGTCCATGCCAAATGTCGTGGAGCACCTGCAAGCCGAACAGTCGGTATTTGCCACTCATTCCGAGGAAGTACTCCATGAACACGAGCTGGAGCACGGCGTTTGCAAAGTACAAGAGCTTGGTAGCAAAGTAGTAAGCGCAGATCGCCCGTCCAAGTCGTTTGTGCGGTAGAAGTTCTTTCACGAAGCCGACGAAGCGTAGGAGGCCGGAGTTGCGCGGTCCGTGGGGCAGCGGACGGCGCGCGAAGAAGAGGGTGTCGAGGGAGGACGCGAGGAACTGGACGCGATTCGTGCGATTGGTTCCTGTCTCCTTTGCTGCGTTCTGAGCCGCCTCTACGAAGTAGCCCAGGTTAGTTCCGACGCGATTGAACGTGATAGTTTCCCAGACGAGATTCGGGAAGTAGCACATGATTGCCTGCAGAGCCAGCACTAGTGAAACCCACTGATAGTAATCTGAAATTTATGATACGAGAGAAAGACAGTTAGCATATTACATCCGCTTGTAAAAGTGCTCCCCTTGGTAGGAGGTGATTGGATGTAGCGAGAGATATTTCTACCTGCAAGTCGATTCGACTGTTAGTTTGGCTGACGTAGCGATCTGGCGATCTAAACTAGGCCGAATTCAAATAACTAACTACAACGCACACCATGCGGGGTGACCTGATAACTAGGTGGTGAGACGTGGGTGGTTGAGTCATCAACACCCCCTGACACCCGCCTTCACCAGGTCAGTTAAAACACCGTACAGATGTGGGCTCTACGCGGATGAGTCATCACACACACACACACACCACGACACGCAATCACGCCGGCAAGAAGCCGTTTACGCCTATTCCACTGCCCCGAGTTTACTTAATTTATCCACAAGACTGGTGAATGCTAAGAATCTCACATCCAACACTGACATCCCTTAATGCCAAGACAACCACTAGTAGCTCGTAGTAACCGATAAGGCAACTTATTATTGACTAGTGTGGATCCGGTAGTGGCCGCGGGTAAACATAATCAGCAGAATCGGGCTCTGAGGTCAGGTCAGGCACGTGACAGAATTCAAATCACGAGCGAACGCGAGTGTCACTAGTGCAGCAACATTACTGGGGTAGTAACAAGGGCTAGGATGGAGCAAATCACAGTAGTTAACGCGAGGTTGTGGGGTCAGGTGAAGCTTGAATGAAATCCCTGGCATTCTGGCCGGAAAGCCAAGCCGATCGATATTGTGGTTAAAAGTCGGTGGTTGCACTACTCCGCATATTTACAAAAACAATCAGGAATACCTTGTTATTTACTCATTGTCCATAATCACCGAGGTCACTTACTGACTTTCTTGCTTTCTAAGTAGTCCCAGTAGTCGGGATCTTCCAGTCTGTCGGTATTCACGTCGGCTGGAACCGTTCCATTGACCCAGCAGAAGGCGTTGATGAAAGAGATCATGTTGGACCCAGAGAAGGTGGTAGCGGTGTAACACGAGAGCGGTTCCAAGACGTAGGACTTGAGAGTGACAATGGTGAAGCAAATGACGAGAACAATGAAGGATAACAGGTAGGCACATCGGTCGGCAAAGTCGTGGAGACTAGAGGAGTCAACGAAGTGCAGCTTATCCAACTGCTGGAGAAACTCTTGAGCGACCATTGTTGCGGTGAGCTAATCCTAGACTCTGGTGCGTGGCAGAAATGAGATTAGAGATTAGTTCAGAATCGGAAATCGATGCGGGGAATAAGAACACCCAAAAATACCCGCTGATTTCGGAAGACGGACACAAAAATGCAAGCACATCGACAAATCGCAGTGTCTGGGTTAAACCCTCTGGTTTGCAGACCACAAAGTTAACAGAATTCAACGCTAACAGGCCACAGACATGTGATTCCCTTCCCCAACACCTGAGAACCAATGAGAGACGAGGGCAGGGATTACAAGGCGTCGCTAGTCATGCGTGCCCATCCCACCCCCGTCCCCACGACCGACACGGTTGCCGTGACCTTAACACCACACGAAAATCGATGAGAAAGAGCCGATGGGAATCGGCTACGTCGAAATCTTGCAGATTCGACTTAGCATTACATACACAGTGCTTTTGGTCGTGCTACAGAACCTGCCATGTACGATAATGACTGCTGTGTAGCGCGTTTACAGTCAGATTGCAGCAGAGTAGTGTAGTGAATTAAGCAGGTTTTGAGATGCAAATAATCCGTAAACCTCGATTTATGGAACTACATGAATAAGGAACGAGCACAAGTATGAGAATTTGCTAAAACAACCGCGAAATTTGTGTAGGACATTAAAAATTATACAAAGGTAGTTATTCCGTCTAAAATGTATTGGCAAAATGATCACACAAATGACTCATAAAGAAGATTCGAACGAAAAAAAGGGAACGAGCACATACCTCCCGCTACCAGAAAAGCCTCGTGACTGATCGTCAACTCTTACGCCTGAGGGGAGACGGTTGGCTGCGAAAGCAGCCAATCAGACAGGCTTTGGTAAACGGGCCAATCACGCTAGTGCACAAGAGGTCACAGACTTGGTCATTGCCCTGTGATTGGTTCCAGATTTTTCGGGTCGGCCAACACAGCTGAACTGTGCGTGCGTGCTTGTGACGATTAGTGAATGACTGTTGGTATCTCACCTCATGCAAGCGACGTGTGTCGCGGTTCGGCGTGCCATAGGCGCCAGACGCCAGACAAAGCACAGTAGACGAGACGCGATTACTCACGAATTCCGGGGTGCGATTTTTCCTTCAGAGAACACGTATTTTCAACGCAGATTTGTAGTCAATCTAAGTTTTCTTATCATTGCGTGAGTAAGCGGTGTTCAGTATGCGGAATGAACAGGTAGAAGGCATTGAGGCGCTCACAAACTAGCTCCAATTGGCCATTAATGTTCATAATTAAGGCGAAATTGATGGCAGCGGACAATTGTGCACACATGATGATAGAATGAACTACGAACTGGACGTTCCACACCTTGGTATAGCACTAAACGAGTACTCGAGCTCTAATCTCGAACCAGCGTTTATTGGTAATTCTAGCCTCGATCGATTGATACTCTCGGCTTTCAGGTATGTGATTGGTCCATCACACAATTCGCTGTCGGCCATATTGAAATGTTAACTTTGCACACGGTCGCAGTAAACTTGATTCGACTAGTGTTGTGCTCAATCTGGCAATGTAACCGGAGCACGGTAAAGCACGCTCAGTTTAAATCCAATTTTGCCTGATCATCTGATTGTCTCAATCATGGTAATAGATAATTGTGTTGAAATGAGAATTTATGTTAGCGAATGATTGTTAACATTAGTTAAACATTAACGTGCGTCGAATCGGCCTTCTTGCAACTGTTATTTTTTGCTAAAACTGATGTCATTAATTCTTAATTCCTAAACTCGTAATCTCCTGGAGTTCGCGAGGGCTCCAAGAGTTGCAGAACCAGCCTAGTCTCTTCGTGTCTCTTAAACACGCGGTAATTGCTTCCGGTGACACGACGCGTTAACTTCTTGTGCAACCGTCTTGCCTTCTCTACATAGGTCTCCCAAAATTGCGTTTCAAACGGATTACTCCACTTTACCGTGAAGATCTGTCACTATAGCAACAGAATACCACTGATAGGATTGTCAAAGGTCAGATATTGTGCTTGACTGATGCAGTTACTACTGGCCAAAGTTTGCGCCAATTATCGCAGCGTTCAATTCTGACGAATACCAAATGAATTTCATGAAAGTGGGAATTATTTGGGTTATATCTGGTGACCGGATAACTACTCGCCCAATAATCGATATAAAGTGAAAGTATTTGTTTATCAATTTATATATTCGTGATGGAGACCTTAATCGATTTATTCAGCGATAGCATATTTGAACTAAGAAATCGGATAATGGCAAATTACACCCGAGCAAGTATGGAATCTCCCAGAGCAGAGCAGTGGACATGACCTTATGGACGAAAATTTAATGGGTTTGAGGACAACTACCGCGGATTGAGCCAATAGGATTGAGGCAGGATAAGGTGCGCGGTCGATTCGGAGGGCGCGTGAATTAAGAATTTGACCATCAAGAATACGACCGTCAAGTTAACCATTCCAGTCTGATCAATGAAGCTGCAAAACTTGCTTTTGCCATAACTCTGGGTAACAGAGTACAAAAGGGAAAACATTTTCGGTTCGTTGACGTTAAGGTTGGGCACGGTTACACTTTCCGAATGTCGTTCAAATGACTTGCTGTGAGTCGTGTTTATTCACCCCCCCCTAAACCGGTTACTCCGCCTCCGACACAGGGGACCCCTTATCGCAGCATGTCGCCAGCCGCGTGGATCCTCAACTCCCCCTCTTCACACGACAATTTGCCCTGGCTTATCCTCACACCTAGATCTTGGTGTTAGCGCATCGAGGCTCACACATCTGAGGTATAAATACACACGCGCAAACCCCACACACGACACAACGACACCAATGAGGTTGAGCTCTGAAGCAGACGGTTGTGTCCACGTCCTCTCCGGTCTTTTTCTTCATTGTGGGTATCAGGCAAGCGTAATCGGGCCAGGGTTAAATCAGTGGCTCCGGCGTGGTTTGAGACCACATGCTGGGTCCCACAACACACACAATGCATCCAATCAATTTGAGGGCCCTTGAAGCAAACAGCAATTAGCCTTCGAATCTAAATACAATCGATAACAACTTGAAAATCGCCAAGCAGGCAAGTGGTGTGAATCGGTACGGGGTGATACACTACTCATCGCCAATTAGTGGTACACTGAGAATTATCGCTACACAGTAGTGATTCAATAGACTTTGCGTCACAAGACACCACATGATTGAGAGCAGGATGAGGGATTGTGATTGAATGAAGCGACGCTCGGATCACGCTATCCGATTGGTCGAGGCAGGCGTCATGGATCAAACGAGGATGTGGGTTACATGAATTCTGATTCGGTCAATCTTGTAAACAATTTACACACCATACTTCAGTAGGCATCGACGACCAGACAATCTACGCCTGTAAGAACCTCACATTATTCAGCAGCAGACGTTGGTAGCTCACTGTGACCTCGTCAAATCTTGACGAAGCCTGTCTAATCTCTCTATGTCTACCGTGAACACAGCAGATGAGCTTTGGTTTCAAATGTGGGAATCGGTGAAATCAGATTATCTCCGCAAATCGATCTGATCTGACTTTGCATGCATGCAGTCATGATTCGACTGAGGCGGTGATGAGCTGCTCTCGAACGAGCCTGAGTAAAGACTATCCACGTGTAGATCGAACGTCATTGGTTAATGATTACACCTGGCGATCGATATTCACTCACGCACTGCCATAAAAGGACAGTGGAGTGGTGTGGTGTTTATAGACGGTTGCACATGATGATGCCTGCTTTGCATCTCACCTCGGAGTTGTTGCGGCCTGTTAAGTGGCTGGCTTCGTTGCAACGTGTCCACAAACGAGTCACTACGTTTGGTGACCTCTGACACTTGACCCCTCCTAACACGCATGCAAAACAAACATACACGCCTGCAAACACACACACGCACACAAAATCACTTGATGAAGATTGATTGGTGGATCGGTGGAACTGGTGTTAATCTATCACACAGGCACATGAGGTGATGTGTTTACAAGGTCACAATTGGCATTAGTGTGGATGCTACATGCCTCCGAATTAGCCTGCATTGCAGGTAGACATTGTGGGGCAAGTAAACAAGATAGGACGTGTTGGTTGTGACCAGTGACGAGGTTGTGGTGAGGGGTGACACTTCGAGTGCATCACTTCAGTCGAGTGACGCAGAGACGACACCGCGATGATTGACCTCGTCCAACAATTTGGGTGTCTGCTCCATCGCTCCCTCCCCCCTCCTATGCGTTCCATCTGCATGCGAGGACTGGTGTGAACGTGCAGCTGCTTGAAACTGTGCGTTATTTGATTCCGCGACCTTATGTGCACACCGCGAGACAGATTTTAGGCGCTTGCGTCTTCTTGCTCTTTTCGCTGACCGCAAATCTGCCTGCATCATCTGTGAGCTGCGGAAGAGGTTCAGAGGAGTAGCGACACCTGGGCACCTTGTGGGCCGATTTGCTACAGTTTTGATCCTCTGCTTTTGTGAAATGGTTGAATTGAGAACCGAATCAAGTGATCCGTCATAGATCTTGGCTTGTAAGCCATAACCACGAGATTTGTCATCGGTTGAAGACCACAACTTGACACCAAAACCTCGTGATTGCGCGTGACTGGCGGATGTTTGATCGGATCACATCTCCGACCACACCAAAGGCTTCCATGGCAGTTTGCTTTCAATCTAGGAAATGAACCAGCTCAATGTCACTTATGAGTGATGATTTAAATGGCAGATTTGTAAGCAGGTTGCGACTTGGACATCGTTGTTTGCATGATGTCACTGACCTCTACTACTAGCTCGTGGCAACCAACGCGATGTAGAGCCAAATCAAAGCACTAGTTTTGGTGAAAGTGGCACGTGTGACATACAGAGGTCGTTAGTCGAAAGAAGGCGTTGTTATACGTGGGCTGGCCCCAATGCAATGACAAAATGAAAGACCCAATGGAAAATGGAGTTGAGGAAGATGTTGGTAAGAATGGAGACATCATGTATAACCTATCTGGGCACTGGTCAAAATGTGTTCAAATGAT